CTCCTTTCCATCCAGCTAACTTCATTTCTGTGTCTCAAGTAATTTTTCTAAGGTAGAGGCAGCTTATAAGCACTGTAAAATGCTTTACTGTTTATGAAGCTCTCATATAAATGTATTAATTCAACAATATTTCATAAGCCATGTACTGGGCTAGGGGCTGAGGATAAATGGGTCATAAGGAAAGGCCCGTTTTGCACAGAGTTCTACTTTGGTGGTAAAAACACGTGGACAAATAATAGCAATACAATAAATGACACAGAGGCATGCAAAAAGGGCTTCTGCACCGTTTACTTTCACAGGCATGACGAAACAGTCATCTTGCAGATCCACTGATAGTGGGTTCCTGAAACTACGTTGAGAAAGATTCTGAAATTCAGTCCAGGTTCTACAATCAAGAGAACTGTGATTAATTATTTTTGCCATGGAAACCGCAATACACATGCCACCTTTCAGACATGCCAGATATAAAAGAAACAGTGCAGAGCTTAGAATCAGATAGACACAAGCTGGTTGAAAAAGCCAGTTATCAGCTCCGTGATCTTGGCAAAATTTCCTTAACCTCTGAGCCTTAACTTCCTCAGAGGTAACCTGGAAATGGATGAGAACTATCTTACAGGTGGTTGTAAAGATTTAATGAGATAAAGTTTGTAAAGTACCTGGCAAAGAGCCTGTACTCCACAAATGGGCGGGCTTCCTTTTCCTTTACGAACACTCGGGTCCTGAATATACCAAGTTCAGTCAGTTAGGTCAAGGGTCCCAACCCCCAGGCCACAGACCCATAGCTGTGTTTTGTGTTCAGGCTACTTGCTACTTGTCTGTGGACTGCTAGGAACCAGGCTGCACAGCAGGAGGTGAGTGGAGGGTGAGCCAGCATTACCGCCTGAGCTCTGCTTCCTGTCAGATCAGCAGAAGCATTAGATTCTCATAGGAGCGGGAACGCTACTGTGAATTGTGCAGGTGAGGTATCCAGGTTGCCCACTCCTTATGAGAATCTAATGCCTGATGATCTGAGGTGGAACAGTTTCATCGCAAAACCATCCCCCCACCATCCATGAAAAAATCATCCTCCACAAAACTGGTCCCTGGTGCCAAAATGATGGGGACTGATGAGTTGGGTGACTTGCTGAGGTCACAGATCTCCAAAGAAACAAATCAGGCTCATGTTTTGATTGCAGAACCACAAGCTTTCCTCAAAAGTACCATATCTGACAGGTACAGAACATTAAGGGTTGAGACTATTCAAATGACCTGAGAATTCTCAATCCTTGAGTTACCAAATTACACACACAAATTACACACCTTCCTCTCCACCCAACTAGCAGTAAGTGATCTCTGCGCACCACTCTCACACCCAAACTGCTACTTTCAACCAAAAAGCTTTCTATTACCCCTCTCTGCCAACCTAAATCTAACCCCACTGAAGGAAAACTCTCTTCTAATCTAGTGAACACTCCTGTGTGTACCTCAGCCTCACCATTCTTACTACTTTTGAATTCTGCTACCACTCATGTCTTCAACTAGAGTGCAGCAAAATTTGACACAGATTTGAATTACTATCTGCCAAATCCCATATTGTAATTAAAATGCAACTATGCTATAAGCTCAGTAACCCTGATCCCCAGCATCTGTGATAGCAATTCACAATCTGTGCAAAACTACAAGTTATTTAATTATTCAAACAATATTTGCATGATTTTTTCATGGAATCAGACCTAGATATATATATGCTGAGACTATTGTTTATTTGCCAAATGATCACAGGTTGTTCATTTGATCTGCTAGTTTTCTCATTTTAAAAATGGAGACAATGCTTATTTATATAAGGCAGTGTCAAGATTAAACAATATATGCAAAACACCTAGAATAGTGTCTGCCACATGACAGGTAATAATAATTACAAATACTTCTATAAAGCTTAATATATGCTTTACTTATTTTTATATTACCTCATTTAATCCTCATAACAACTAACATAAGCACTACCACTATTCCCATTTTATGAGTGGGGAAACTGAGGCATCAAGCTATTAAATGACTCATAACTATGAAACCAAAATAAAATGACCAATTCAACTTAAAAATGAACACTAATAAAATTCCAATTCAAAAGTATTTCACTGATGTTTTGCTAAACTAAACCACTGGTAGCAATACAGATATAGTACTGACCTCCATGGCTATGGCACAGGTTCTTCTTTAAGCTGAGTAGTTCCTATACTGCTGTGTGCTGGATGAGGATTCGTTTCTCTGTGCTTATTTTCTTTTGGAAGTACTGTGAAACCACCGTGAAGCCCTCTTTCCTATGGTGAACTGGGAAGTCATTTGGCTCTAATGAATTACATGATGTCTGTTCTTATTAGTCAAAGACAATTAATAGTACTGTTGGCACAATGAGATTATAAACAAAAAAGGAACCTGATATCCTTTCCAGATCATTCACAATATACTTCTATTAGTTCTTCCTCTGTGACTTATAACAATAAAATTTTTAACAAACAGAAACTGTGCCTGTGGTAAAAAGGAATTTGAGGAGGAAAAAATACATAAAAAAAGAAATTGTGCCCAGCTTCTCCACCATCCAGCCTGAGAAACATTCCCTTAAGTCAGGATTCTTAACCCAGAGTCCACAATTCCTTTTAATTCTGGGGGTTGGGCAACTTGGTACCACATACTTTATGTTATGACATTTTGAGAAGGGGTCTGGAGGCCTCACAGGAGTGCCATGATATAAAAACAGTTAGAAACCCCACCTAGGTAATCAAAGACCCAGAGGTGTCTGGGGATCCCCACCCAACAGAACCCAAGGGATGCCATGCTGGTAGTCAGGGTAAGGTGCCTTGAGGAAACCTGTGAAAATCTGCATAAAGAAAGCTGGCCTCCAGGCAATGTCTAGGAAACACTATTCAGGTGTGAGCCAGCTCTCTCCTGAAACAGACTTTCACTGATAGCCTTTTCCCACACACATTCAACCAGTGCACAACTTTGTCTGGTTACAAGGAACCACTCCCAGGCTGGGCTGAGCTTTGTACAAGTATCAACAGGCCTTATGACAACCCTGCAAGGCATGTGCCACTACACCCATTTTACACGATGAAGTATTGAGGCCAAAGAGTAAAGTTAATTTGCCCAAGGGCATCAAACCAATGGGTACTGGAGTTGAGGTGTGAATTTGGTCCTGCCTGGCTTCATTCCTGCCCCTTTCCACCACGCCTCCTCTCCCATAGTGGGCTCCCTTTTGGGGTTCATTTGATTCACCTCACTTTTGACAAAGAAGAAAAATTAGAGACCCAGATCACTATTGCAATTTAGTGTCAGAGTTGCCTCTGGACTCAAGCTTCTAAAACTCCTGATTTTGCAATTTCATCAGGACAGGCCTCCAGCAAGTACTGCTTTCAGCACAGTACTTAGCATATACCAGTATCAATCAATATTCGTTAAATACATTTGGAGAAATGCATTAAAAATGTATGATACAAACTTTAGATCAAATCTGCAAACAAATATCTATTGTATGAGTCAAATTATATTTTTGTTTCCTATAATCAACCTTATTCTTTCCTTCCTTCTTTCATTCAATTATCCAAGGCACCCAAGGAAGCACTGTGAGTTTCAAAGACTTATGCGATGCAGGTCTGGTCTTAAAGGTAACACAGCACCAAAAGAGCAAAGAAAACTACAATGCAGAGGAGAAAAGACCCAGAGAAATACTGACAAAGTATCAGTGACAATGGACGAGAGCGATGACCCCAGGAGTATTGGGGGAGACCATTCAGCACTTCACAACATCCTTTGTAGGTTGGCATGCAGTTCTGAAATTATGTTAGATTCTCTCTTTCAAAATCTATCACCCAACTCTTTCTTGAAAAACGGGAATCAAAGTACAGTTAACTTTGTGGCTGTCCTATTTGAATTCTTGGCATTTTATAAGTAGAGTTTTAAAACAGGTTATTTGGAAAAGTCAAGAACTAAATACGACGATTTTCACTGCCCGGGTTAAAAAATTACTAACCGCCCTCGCTTAAAAAAAAAAAAAAAAAAAAAAAAAAAATTCTGTATCGAAAAGCATTTATAAAGGGAAAATGTGCTTGGTTTGCAGCCTGCAAATAAAAGAAGTTAAACATTTTGGGTAGCCATTTAAATAAACATCGTTTAACAAATGTCCCGGTTTAGAAGGGGGAAAGGGATCCGCGGGTTTAGAAAGCCCGCCCCCCGCCCCCAGGGGGTGCCTACGTGGAGCTCCTGAATCTGGCTCTGGAGAACCCAGAATGTGATTCTCAGGACCTGTCGCATAATTTCACAACCAAGCATTCTTGCATTCTTCTTTGTACCTGAATCGTAGAAAGTTCTGGAAAAAGCTAGGAGTAAGCGACTGACATTTCCCTGCTGTTCTTTCGACATAGAGTGGTTCGGTGCTTGGTGGGCAGGCACCACCAAACAATGGGGCCGCTAGGAGCCGGGTACGGCGGCAGGAGCAGTACCCTGGGCTCGCGGGGGATGTAGAAGCCCCATTCCACCCCTAGGGGACCGAACCCGGTAAGGTCGCCCTCGGTCTCACCACACTCCGGGCAGAGGGGGCCCTGAGACTCGGACCCCCACCCCAGAGAGAACCTGCCACTGGACGAGGGGACCCACGGCTGCCAAGAGGCGGATTAGCAGAAACGCGAAACTCACGACCCGCCTCTCCCCCAGAGAAACCAGCATGGAGAAACTAAAGGTCACGTAAGATTATTTACCTGCCCCGCGGGCCTGGGATCCCAGCGCACGGCCTGGGCGGCCTCGGGGACAAGGGCAGGTGTGTTTGAGGGATAAGAGAGAGAAAATCTGGGGCGCAGGGGTGAAGAGGCTGGCAGGGGCACAAATGTGACCGGGATGGGGATGTCCGAGGCGACCCGGGGATGCCGGCCGGGCGACAGCAGGACCCTGGGAGGCGGTGGATACCCCCTGCAACTCCCGCCCTGGGGTTGGCAGCGCCGCGGAACCGCCCCACCGCCCCTACTCACTTGAGTCGGAGGCGGGAGCACGTACCGCAGGCGGAGCTAGCGAGGATAAGCTGGAGGCAGGGTCCACGGAGTCCCAAATCCCAGGCGAAGGGCGCGCCAGTGCCTTTTAAAGAGCGCCCGGTGGGCGTGGCCTGTGTCCGCCCCGCCTTCCTCCCGGCCCCGCCCCTCCCCGCCCCGCCCGCCGGATTCCCGGAGCCGCTTGCCGGGCTGGGGCGTGTAGCCGGCTGGTTGCCCTCGGCCCGGCTCCGGGCTAGCCACCAGGAGACAAAAGGCAGGAGGCCCGCCTCTTCCTGCAGCTTCCCGCCCGCCCGGCATCTTCCCACGTCCCGGGACCGCTCCCTCCCAAAGGGACCCGGCAGTTCCAAAAGCCACTGGGACTTGGAGAGGGACTTCCTTCCCCTCCAGGGAGGCCCGGCGGCGGGACGGTCCCGCCGGGAAGTGGCCCTCGCCGCCCTGCGTCGGACCTCTCCACCGCGAGCGCCGATCCCCCTCTTCGCGGAGACAGACGGGGCGGGAGGCTCCAGCAGTAAAAAGTCAGCCAAACGGGGCTTTCCGCCACCTCCCCGCCTTGTCCTTGTCAGTAGATTCAACGTGATTAACTTCCCTAGTTAACGCATATTCTCTCGTCCGATTTCCAGCTTCTGGGAATCCACAACTTTCTTATTCTTAAAGAGCAGAATTCCTCATGTAGACTAAATAAATGACGTTACGAAAACGCCCCATTCCCAAAGTGTTTCGCTCTTCCCCTCCACCAGGGCACAGCACGCGATGCCGAGGGGGAAGAAACCTAAACCCAGGCAGAAACCCCGGGCGCCACAGGGCCCTGCGTTTCTATGTGTTGATGTCAGAAAAGCAAAAGGATACCGTGACATCCGAAGGGACCTAATGCCTAAGCTATAGGATGATTTATTGTTTTAGATGAAAAGGAAAATAAACAATGCAATCTCTATCTGGTTCATATTCTAGGCCTCCTCATGACCTCTCCTGCCAGAAGCAATGATCCCAGAGAATTGATACTTGCGGAGTGGGGAGTTCAAAAAAGGCAGTGAACAAAACTCCCTCATGCCATAAATGCTTTTTCCTCCTCTGGTCCAGAGTTTCTCATCCTCCACACCACTGACATCTTGGGCTGGATAATTCTTTATTGTAGGGGGCTGTCCTGTGCATTGTAGGAGGCTTCCATGCACTAGGTGCCAGTTGCACCATGCCTCCGACGTTGTAACAATTGAAAAGTCTGGACATTGCCAAATGCCCTCCTGGGGAGACGGCAGGGAGCACATATCCACATAACAACGTACAGAACCGACTTATAATATTATTGTTTTATTTTATATGCTGGGGCCAATCCAGGATAAACTCATTATAGCTGCCTTGTTCTGTGTCCACCAAGTACTGTTCAAAAACACATAGTGGTGATTGACATCTCCTGATACTGTGGCAGGAGTCTGGAAAGCAATCTTGCCTGCTGTGAGCTTTTCTAAATATGGACAATCCTTATTTCCATGATATCAGCTAGTGTAAGTGACTTAACTTATGGGCCAACAGGAAAATTCAGTCCCTCGGATTCTACATTTGCTTTAGCTCAGCTTCTTACAGTATTTTTTTTCTTGCCTAAGTTTGCCTAGTGCTTCTACTGAATGACACTGTATCAGTGAGTCTCACTGCAGCACTGGATTTTAGCAAGCCACTGCCCTTTCTCTCCTACCCTGAGTTCCTCTCAATGCCTCTTTGTGGAAGGGGACTCCCAGACCTGAGCTGTTTCTGTCAAACTTATGCTGTCCTGAATTTCCAGAGCCATATCTTGTTTGAAATTGGGCTTGTTGGCCGGATGTGGTGGCTCATGCCTGTAATCCCAGCTACTTGGAAGCTGAGGCAGGAGAATCACTTGAACCTGGGAGGTGGAGGTTTCAGTGAGCAGCAATCGTGCCAGTGCACTCCAGCCCGGGTGACACAGGGAGACTCCGTCTCAAAAAAAACAAAGCAAAACAGAAAAAGAAATGGGGTTTGTTTTTGATCTAAAAGTATTTCTGCTATCTGTCCCTGTATGTATTTGTCTCCGTATATTTCACAGTGAGTCTGCAGATGATATACAACATGTGATTTTGAACAAATCTGTATTTGTATTTATCAACATTTAAAAAATATTTATTTCTCATTTCTTTAAACATCTATTTAAACTGTTGACTCTTTTAGTTATGAACATGAAGAAATTATTTAAGAGTTTTTAGACAGAGTGGTGCAAAAGAAAGAGTATGAGCTTTGGAATCAAACACCCATGATTTCAACATACAGCTCTGCCACCTATCAGTTTTGTAAGCTTGGGCTAAGTACTTGACCTTTGTGCATCTGTTTCTTTATCTGCAAAAAGATAATTCTACACACTTTGTAGTGTTGTTATGAGGATTAAATCGGATGATGTATGTAAAATGCCAAACATAGCACCTGGCACATGGTAAATACTGAATAATTGATGGTTGTTATGTTAAGCAAAGATATCTTGATGTCCTTATTGCCTCTCAAGAAAGAAATAGAAATTGTGCTTTACTAAGTACTCATGCTGCCTTCTTGAGGGCTCGATATTAAGAAGGTATGAAGTGTTTTCCAAAACAATCAAGAATCTTCAGTAGGAAGCATCTGCGTGCCTGCAGAAGGCTAGTGGGAGAATTGTGTTCTCATGGAGAAGGATGAACCCTTAAGTCCACATGGTCTTAGTCTGTTTGACCCCTCGACTTCGTAATAGGCAGAATTGAAGGTTAAAAGTGTCCAGCAGGCTGTTTCTTTTTCCCACTCAAAATGTGTATTATATTTGTAACAACTCCATTCTCTGGAGTTCATCAACCAATTTCAAATCAAAGCCCTCTCTCAAGGTCACTGTCCTAAGGCAAGTTGAACCAAGGTTGTTGCCTTTTGTCATGACCTTCTACTTCAAACGTAGATTTTAAAAATATTTTTATTATTTTTATTTCATGCCCCCCCCCTTTTTTTTTTTAACAAAACTCTGAATCAGATGAATGTGAATTTAAACACAAAGCCTCTTTATTTTAGGGCAAGGCTTTCTTCCTAGAAGGCAAGAAGGCTATAGTGAAGAGGAATATTTTATTATAATGATTTTAGTATGAAATAAAGGGAAAAATTTGAACTTTGCTAATGTACACATTTAATAACACAAAAAGAAGCACTTTTTCTACCTTATTTCTTAGTTAAGATGTAGCAGCAGTGGTGGGAATTAAAAATTACTCATACTTAACCCTAATACTCTGTGATGTATTATCTGACAGAGAAAAGAATAATATAAGTTATATATGCTTAAATGTTGGAAGGTAGATTAGAGTATCTTATTTTTGATATTTGTCATAGTTGCTTTTTTTTAACTTGCCATAAACTCCTACTTTCTTATACTTGCTTCATTTCCTAACTCTCTTTCTGCAGTATGTACTGTTTTCACTCAGTGCTATTATCTTCTATTATGATGTTATTTATGTTTTCTTTTCAACCAGAACTTTCTATCTTTTCAAGCTCTGCTTCTGCTTTCATATTATAGCAGAGTTTTTCTAGCTTTACTAGTAAGAAATACACCATTAACCTCCCAGACGGCATATTCTATCCATCTTATCTTAACCCCTTCATTCATTTATTTCACTTTTCTCCCTCTTTTTCAGCTGGTAACATCACCTTCTTCTCCTTCATTCACATTCACAGCCACTCACCAACATTTCCTCAACCTTCCTCCACTTTGCCTCGAAGCTTCCACGTTTTCTCCTATGTTTCTACTTGCTGTCCCTGATCTTGGAGGAGCAAATGGTTCTCCCACTCCCTACCAACAGTGTCCACTCTGCCTAGGCTTTGGATCCGTGTCTTTGGCATTTTTTAGTTTTACAGTCATGTGCCACTTAATGATGGGAACAGGTTCTAAGAAATGCATCATGAGACAATTTCACCGTTGTGCAAACATTGTATAGTATATTTACACAAACCTACACCGTATAGACTATGGTATAGCCTGTTGCTCATGGGCTGCAAACCTGTACAGCATGTGACTGTACTGAACACCACAGGCAATGGCAACACAATAGTATTTGTGTATCTAAACGTATCTAAATATAGAAAAGGTACAGCAAAAAGACAGTATTGTAGTGTTACAGGACCACCCTCATATTTGTGATCTGTTGTTGATTGAAAATTGTTATGCAGCACGTGACTGTACTCCCTTGCTCTTCAATTTCTGTCTCTATTGCTTTCTTTCCTTTCAAATGACAAAAATTCTGTTCACCCTGTATTTTTAAAAGCTGACATAAATGTCCCTGAGTCGTGTAGTAGGTATTTGTGATTGCCTCTCTAGCATCCATTCCTCTCTGTGTGGTTTCAGGCATGTGAGTTCACGGTCCTGGTTCAGGGTGGAGCACTGGATCCAGTCAAGGCATTTGAGGCCCCAGCTTGGGGACGGTAAGCATGTGACCCAAGCCCATCCAATTAGAGTGAATCTCAGAACTCTGCTGGGGTGCGGAGTCAGAGCCAAGTTAGCCTATTCTGGAATGTGCTGTGTGCATGGAGGAGGCCTTAGAGTGGTTACAGTCATTTTTGCTAGCAACCTGGTCAAGGATGATTTGACACAGAGAGGAGGACAGAGAAAATAGAGCTCTGAACAAGTATTCACCATGTTTACTTACCTGCAGGGCTTTTTCATTGTGGGAACCAACGAGTTCCCATTGCTGTTTAATCCATTTTGAGATGGATTTTCTGTTATTTGCAGTTAGGACTCCCAACAGATTGTGGTGGCTTAAAATCATGTCCGTGGATTCTTTGTTACTCCTCCCTTCAATAGGTAGACTTTAATTCATGCCCTTACCCTTGGGTGTGGGCTAGATTTAGTGCCTTGCTTCTAGAAAATAGAATAAAGTACATGATTTTGAGACTAAGTCAAAAAACACTTTGTGACAACTTTCTCCTCCTTCTTCCCCCACCCTTTTCTCTTATCCATTCTCCCCAATCTCCAGTATCTTGCGAACATGTGTGTGTGTGTGTGTGTGTATGTGTGTGTGTGTCTTATCACTGCTATGGGGAAAGCCAGCTGCCATGTCAGGAGGACACTCAAGCAGTTAAGAACAGTGGCCTGTGGCCAACAGTCCCAGA